TGGACCAAAGCTTTTAGCCAAGGCCTCGACCCTGGAGCTGTAGCCATCCTGGGGGACTTCTCTTGTGATGTTGGGGGTCACATTGAGGCCGATCTTATAGTCACTAGATCTTTAGGGTCTCCAAATGGGGTGGTCTCAGCTTATGACCCTGGAGTGAAGAGATGCTTAATCCTCACCTCGATTTGAGTCTACAGCCCCTGTCTAGTTGCTCTACCACGAGCCTGTCTTTATGGAGGTCACTAATGTTCGGCGACCATTCTGCATTGAGGACGTTTACGTCAACCTGGCTACAGCTCATATGGATGTTTAATCCAGTTCTGCATCTCACAGTGGTTTTGTTTGGCTAAAGTCATGCTAGTGAAAGGGAAAAGAATCAGGAGGAAGGAGGTTTACAGAAAACAATGACAAAAAATAACATTAAGCAAGGAGCAGTGTTTGCAAGTATCAAATGTCAAATGTCAACCTTGGTTTGAGCCTTTGGCCCTCCCCTGATCTGGTGGAAGAAAGCTCCAGCCTCTCCCCTCCCCTCGGATTCCTTATCTGCAAAATCGCATTATATACCCGGCATATGTTACAGGCGATCGTAAGACCAGACTTACAGTGTGTGTGGTCCTCATGGGATAACACCCATCACTCCTCTGTCCCTCCCTCAAAAGCTGGGAGGAGCTGGCCACGATGCCCCAGGGACATTTCCTAGGACGAAGCAGCCCCGATAGAAGGCCCACTCCAGCCACTTCTGCTTGGGGCAAAGCAGAAAAGTCCACCAGCAGTCCAGCTGCACCACTTACAGGCTGTGGGACCTTTTCTTCTCCATTTCTTTACCTGTAAAATGGAGCCAACACTTCTTAGAGCTAATGGGAGATTAAACAGGAAATGTGTGGATGGTGCCAGCACAGCACCTGACACACACACTCAGCCCTCCATCCACGGTGGCTCTTTGCTCAGGAACCAAACAGAAAACAGGACTGGCTTTCTGTTGTAGACTTTCCTGAGTTGCCAGGTCACTGGCCTTCCTGTAAAAGTCTTCCGTTTGGAGAGGAGAGATCTGTTGTCAAATGCAAATAAGCCAGGGGAGAAAAGAGCATCGTGCTCTCAGCCCTTCCCACAAACTTTGCATCCATCCAAATGGCCTTGACCACCAAGGCTGGGCCTCCTCGTGTGGGCCACTAGGACCCAGAGGCACTGGTGCTGTTCCTGTCACCAGGGCCACGCCTAGAGACTTGATCAAAAGGAGCAGGGGGGTAGTGGCCAGAGTGGCTGAGGGGTGAACTTAGGCCCCTCTCTAGGGTACCATGGGAGCAGAGCAGGGCACAGTGGACTCTGCAGGGGAGGGTCCTGGAGGGCTTCTCAGAGGAGGTGATGCCAGATTTAGGCTTTGGAAGATGAGCATGATTTTTCAAGTTGGTAGGAGCAGGTGTCCCTGGCAGAAGTTCCTGGGTGAGCAAATGCCTAGAACCCATGTGGGCGTGGCACACAGCAGCAGCAATATACCCAGTATGCAGTGAGCATCTGGACGTCCTGGGACCGTATCGAGTGCTGGAGGCATGAAGGTAAATAAGGCAGGCAGGCTGGCGAGTGTGGGCGGGTGCAAAGGGCAGAGGGAGCGTGGAAGAAGCCCATGGTGTGGGGGGAGTGATTTGCCAAGGGCCTCACAGTCTGTTGGTGGAAGGTCTTCCTTCAAGGAGCCCGAGGCAAGATGTGCCGAGCCCAGTAGGACCTGGAATGTCAGGGCTGGACTTGTTTCTCTATGGGGGTCAGCATCAGGGTGAGAATAGCCCAGGGTGAGGCCTAGTGGGCAGAGTGTTTGTTTGACCTGAGTGACTCAGAGGTGAGGGCTTTCACTTTCCTTTTTGCTTCTCCAGGTATATCTGGGCCCAGCGGGTGTGTGTGGTTATTGCAGAGACGCACAGCTAGTGGCTGCATCTGCACAGCTGAGAACAACTGGATCTTGTTCACACTCGGCCAGAGGAAGATTCCTGGGTAAGCAGGGGGGTGTAGGATCCCCACCCATCTCCCCATCCTCAGGACAACTGTCTGAGAAAAGTATGACTGTCCCTGATTTACAGAAGAAGGGAGATCAAAGCTCAGAGAGATGAGGTCATGGGCCCGAGGTGGCAGGTGAAGCAGGGGCAGAGCCTGGATTTGGAGGCAGGTTTGTCTGACAGCTTCCTCCCGCCCCCTGGGCCCTTAAACAGTGCAGAGGGAGGGCGACACCTGCTCAGGTGAGCTCAGCTTGAAATGCAGTGGTGAGACATGAGACATGAGTGGTGACCCCAGGAGGAAGGTGGGTGTTGGCGGTTACTCAGTCCTTCGGGAAATTTGGAGGAAGCAGAGTGGGTGGAGGAGGGTATGAATGTCAGAACCTCTCCTCCTGTGGCCTGGCCACCTTGAAGCAGCCGCCAGGGCGCTGTGGTGACGCTGAAGGGGCTCAGGGATTTCTTCGGAGATACAAGGGATCAAGGTTTGTTCACCCACCCTGTCTCTGAGTGCCTGCTCAGTACCAGGCCCTGGGGAGATACTGAGGCCTGAGAGGGGAGGGCCAGGAGACCAAGCAGGGGGATGCAGGGCTTTGTCTTCAGGTGCTCACCGGGCCCACTGCTCAGGATGTGAGTGACGGGTGGCCCTGTGCGGGGAAGATGGCCCCGCTGAGGAAGTGGGATGACCTGGCTGCAGAGACCTGCACCGTGTTTGCTGTTGTGCAATCTTGAGATGAAAAGTCAAACTGTACACCTGTGTCAAAGAAAATAATCAATAAAAAATGTTTAATAGGAGTAGAAAAGGATTTTCTTTGAACTAACTGAGGCCTCTAGCCCAGAAGACAGCCTCTCAGATAACTGTGAGGCACCGCTCTGGAGAAGCATGGTTTTCAGCACAGGTTTACATCTTGTCAAAACAAAGACCATCAGACGAGTCAGGGATAGTTTTCTTCAAGGTTTCACAAAATACAGAACAGCATGTACACAGCAAGTCAGTATGGCCTTGGAACCTAGGAAGGAAATCCTAACATGGAAGGAATACTGCACTGGCTTCCCAGGAAGGGAGGCATTTCATCTTATTTTTAACGGGGACATTCTTTACTTCTGGTCAATGCACTGTCTTCTTTAATAACTAAAATCGATGTATGGTATATGTTTGATAGGGCAAAACAAATGTTTTTGTTAGCATAAATTCAATTAAACTCATGTATAAGCCAGAATCACCTCCCTATATCTCAATATGTGAAAATTCTTTTATCACATGTGACTATAACGGGGGGTAGGGCGTGAGCTTAGATCTATGCGTTTATACAGGCAGAGACACACCTAGAAACTTTTGGGTTATTAAAATCACATCCCCACCCGTGACATACCTGTGTCACAAGGTCTGCTGTTGGCCTCCACTCTGCCTACCGAGAGCTCTGTGACCCTGGGCAAGTCACCTCCCCTGGAATTGTTTGTTCGTATCTCTTACCCATTTTTTAAAAACTGGTTTCAGCCTTTTCCTGTGGATTTGTAGGCTCTCTGTGTGTTGGGGATATTGACTTTGTCTACTGTAAGTATTGCAAACAGTGCCTGCCGGTCTCTGATTGTTTTCTGACCTGGTTTACGGTGTCCTTTACAATTTTTAATTTTCAAGAGGTCAAATAGATCAGAACTTCTTTTATAGCTTGTGGGATTTCTGTGTGAATTAGAAAGGTTTCCATAAATCAACATTATATTCAATGTTTCTTTTAGTACCTTTGTAGTTTTTTCTTTCTGGTTAAATCAGATCCCTTTGGGATTAAATCCTTCATTGATTAGAAGCTTTTTGTTTCTCCTCCACCTCTTCCTCTTTCTATTCCCCCTTCCCCCTCCCTTTCTTTCTAATTTCACGCAGGTGAAACAGGGGTTGTGCCGTGTCACGGAGAAGCTGGTTGTCTCATGTCCCCCTAACGGGTCCCACACCTCGTATTTTAGCCAGGCTGTGCCCGGGAGGGCGGAGGGGCCGCGGAGGCCCTAGAGCAGAAGGTGCAGCAGACGACAGACAGGGCCCCGAGGGGTGCTCAGAGCTGAAGAAACTCCACACAAATAGAACCACGACCAGGAAAGTGCGACATTCCCTGGGAGCCGGTGGAGGAACTGGGGGGAGGAAGCAGCGGCAGGAGGCGCTGGGCCTCCAAGAACAGTAACATTTCACCTGGTGAAGCAGGTGGGGAAAGGCACTGCAGGGGGAGGAACAGTCCGAGCAAACGCCCGGGGGCTGGGGGGGAATCCGAGGCCAGGCAGCTGGGAGTCCTCCAGGCACCTGGACCAGGCCCAGGGAAGCAGGAAGTGGTGAGAAGACCGGAACTAGAGCAGTAGGAGGGCCTGGAGGCTGGGCTAAGGACTCTGAACTTGATCCTGTCTTAACCCCTCCTTTCCCTGACCAAGCAGGATGCCCTGCAGCTACATGCAGGGAGGTGCTTGGTGAGAATCTCTGTCGGCTCCCAGGGAGGGGAGGCCTTGCCTGGCTATGCAGTTGGGTGGGGACAGGCTTCTCCCACCAACAACTATTCCGGGAAGTTATCGACCGGAGGCTAACGGAGGAGAGTAATCCAGCAGGAGGGAGCACCGTCCAGCATCCACACCCAGCTGGGGCTGCACCCGAGGGTCAGGGCCGGCCGAGAGCGGCAGAGAAGGACCAAAGGAGGAGGTTGAGGGCGCAGCCCCGTTTACAGGTGTTTGGAGTCATCCAGGATCCAGCCTTTCTGCCCGAGCCCTCCTCCGCCCCCCCTTGCCTCCTGGTCCCTGTGTTTCACGATTTCAATTGGCTGCCCTGGCTCCCGGGCTCGTGCAGCTTCGAGGCAGAGAAGGCAGAGAAGGAGGCAGGGGACGAGCCAGCTCTCCTCTCCCACCTGTCCCTTACAGCAGGGAGTCTCCAGGCCCCCCTCTGCTGAGTTCTTCTGTGCCTTGTTAGCCAGGACTGGGTCATAGAGTCACCCCTCGCCGCGGAGGGGCCCAGCAACACATACCTGATGTCCAGGCCCGCCCAGCAACACATACCTGATGTCCAGGCCCGAGACGAGAGGCAGAAGGGCCGAGGGGGGAGGCGAGTGGCTTTGGAGGAGGTGGAACTGCATGAGAGCAGGTGGGCAGGAAAGCATCCAAGGACACAGGAACACTGTGTTGTTAAGATCAAGTCTGAGAACAAAGCACAGGAGCTGGAAAGGGACCAGCCAGGGAGTGAGCAGAGCAAGGGCGGCTTGGAAAGGGAAAGGGAGAGGAACCTACTTTAGGCATCCTTACCCCTGGCGGCCTGCCTGTGTGTATTCTCTCCACCCACACTGTCAGTGCCTGCAGCCTCAGGCACACTCCCATAGTGGACAAGCTGTTTGTTACTCTTCCTGAGGGAGAACCCTGGGCATCGCAGAAAGAAGGCGTTAGAAAGAAAGATTCTGGGATTGGGGCTTAGGTCAGGTCATTTGGGGGAGGCTCTAAGGAAATGGGGCCTCTGTAGATCGGGTGCTGCAGAGAATGGGGGGCAGTTCACACTGAAGGTGTCTCAGTAAATCCATCTATGGAGAGGGGAGACAGAGTGAGGAGAAAGGTATAATCGGTAAAGAAGGACAGTCATGCTTTGCAGCCAAGGGAGGGGGTGTTGTGTTGGTGGCATCACAGTGATGGGTGTTTGCTGTCTCATTTCCTCATGCTCTCAGGGCTCCGTGGTCTGAGGCTGGTGTTCTCTGAGAGTCTTTACATCCAACCGGAGAATAGCATCGCCCTGTTGTGATCCCAGGCCGGCCTGGGATGTCAGAGGCTGTTTCTTTGTTTTCTTCCTCAATCCTTTATAAATAGTCATGTAAATAAACAGAAGGGAATATCCCCATACACTTTAAAACTCCTCTTCTTATTAAATTCAATTAAGAGTGAAATATTTCCCGTTATACTCACCTCTTTGGAGCATAGCTACCTTTTTTGACCTTTATATCTACCTCTTTGGACACGCTTTATCTAAACTCTTCTCATTTGAATATTATTATGAACTCATGGCCTTTCACAGACTCAACCTGCCCTAAAAACATGATCATAGTCATCATTATCTATTATTATTATTATTATTATTATACGTGGGTGCCCCTTCTAAACACTGCTCTGAACATCTTCGAGAGCATCCTTGCCTTTGGAGTAGCAGGTATGCCGGCCTGTGGAATTCACTTCCCCTACAAGGAGTCTTGCTTCCCTTGAGTGGACAGAAGCCCATGGGTGCCTATGTGGGTGGGCAAGATGCGGCTGGAAAATGTATCTGTTTAAGGTGACAGTTCACTCCGATATTCTGCTTGAACCCCTGTTCCTATCCCTACTTTTCTTAGAGAACTCGGTTTCATCAACACGAACGTGTCTCCTATACTGACCGTTGTCACATCAGGACACATCAGGCTCATTTCTTACTGGCACTTGATCCAGCTCCTTCCATCATCCTTAAGGTGGTGGGTTGCCAACTACTCTAAAGGGACTTCTGCTGTCCTAGAGTTAAAACAATCCAAAATAATAAGTGCATATCTGTAAAACAAATCGACTCACACAGTGGGTTCTGCTCAGCCCTTCCCAGGGAAAACCACTTTAAGTTTTTTGCTTTTTCTTTAGGCAGTTAATCAATGTGTTAAAATAACTTCTTACATTGGGAGAGAGAACAGTGTGAGAGTGCACCGGAGACGGGAACCTGGACTTGAATTCTGGCTCTGCCACTAGCTGGGTGCTTTGAGTAAATTACTTAACCTCTCTGAGCTCCAGTTTCCTTGCTTCCAGGGTCATTGTGAGAACTAAAAGTGAATGAATGCCTACCAGGCGCTTAGAATGGTGCCTGATGCAAAGTGGCGCATCATCAACCACAGTAGCTAATAAACATTAGGTACTCCATTTTTGATATTATTTATTTACTTCCTTCCAGGAAAGCTAATAATTTCACTTACTTTTATCCTTCTTCTTATACCGCTCCCCACCTTCTCCTAATACCATTACATCACTAGGGCTGAACAAAGTTTCAGGAGCCCTGCGCATCATTGACACTGGATCGTTATTAATTATTACCCATTAGTAAACACTAGTGCCCCCAACCTCACGTAATTTCTAGAGTATTCCCTTCTTATCTTTTTTTCTGTATTTGGTTTTATTGCTTCACTTCTATAACTTTGCAGATGGCTGTCTCCCGTCTGATTATCTTCTCCTTGTGCCGCAAAAGGAGAGCAGGACTCTGACTGGACTTGGAGGCAGCTGACGGGAGATGAGTAACTTTCCTTAACTAGCGGCCAGCAGAGCCCAGGAGACAGAGAACCTCTCTGGGTTAAGTCCACTGTGGCACCGGTGGCAGGGAACCCACCAGAGAGCTCGCCCCTCGCTGTTCCCTGCAGCCACTGCTCACTCATGATCAAGCCCACAGTCTGTTTTCTCTTTCCCAAGGGTGAAGCGACACCTCCTTCCAGCCTGACACAGGCGGGCGAGCTGAAGGGAAGGCTCTGAGACCCCAGCTGCTGCCACCGTGAGCACAGTAACCTTCTGCTACTTAGGTAGCCAGCTGCCTCTTCTCTGGTGCTTCCTACTTGTGACCTGGAATTGAGGGTGGTGCCTCCAGGCTGAGTTAACCAACAGAGGAATCAAGAACCAAGAACGGGATGGATAAGCATCCTCGAGCCCCCACGAGGGGCCAAGAGGAGCTCCCCAAACCCAGGGGTCTGTCCCCACAGCCTCCTTCCCGGCCCCGCCCCCCCCAGGGAGCCAGGACCAAGATGCTCACTTCCTCACCCCCTAGTCCTGCACCACCATCCAGCAAGTGACTCAGAAGTGAGGACAGGACAGCCCATGGGGAGTGGGGGGCAGCAGATGGGAATCCTGGAGGCCGGGCCAGGGGGAGAGGAGGTCCGCCAGCATCCCTGGAGGCTTCTCCTGGCCTCTCCCTTTGTCCCAGCAACCCCCCCTGCTCTTAGACCCTGGGGCGGTACCACAGAGCCTGTTGCCTTCAGCTCTCGCCCTGCTGCCAGCCCAGCCGCTCTGTGAGGCTCAGTGGACCCTGAACTGAGCCCCAGCCTGGCCTTTGCCACCTCCCACCTGTGTGACCTGGAGCACCTTGCCTGACCTCACTTGTAAAATGAGAATAATATTTCCCTATGTTGTTTTGAGGATCAAATGTAATGTGTGTTCGTGGCGTGGGCCAACGCCTGCCACATAGCAGGTCCTGCCTAAGTGTGGTTGCTGTCCCCTCTACCTGGAATTTGTTAGTTTCAGGTTGCCCCCCCCCCCCCCCCCCTCCCCCCCCCCCCCCCCCCCCCCCCCCCCCCGCAACTGCCTGCAGCTCTGTCAGGGCACCTGCTTACCAGGTGTAACTGCCTCAGGCAGGTACTGGTTCTATGGATCTCAATACCCCTGCAGAGACGCGGGTGCTCAGTTATTTCCCCCACCCACCCCCATCCAATTAATGCACAGATTTAGTGCCGTGGGTTTCCTCCATGTAAGCCCTGGGTTCCCTTCTCCCTGAGTGAAGGGGGAAGAAAAAAACCTAAGCAATCACCACGCACCCACATGAGCGCTGCGTTTTCTTGAGTCTCGTTTCCTCAGAGTTGCTTCTGCCCCATCACTGCATTGCCCAGGAACCAAATCACGTCCTCCCTGGAGCTGCCCTCGAGAGCAAATTAGTCAAGCTGAAGGGTAAGGGAGGGGAGAGCAGATTAGAAGCCAGGAGCCGCCATCCCAGCAGACTGGGATCCTCGAGGGAGGGCTGGGCTGGTGAATTCCTGAGGATCAACTCTCCTCCGGAACAAGGTGATCTCCTGTTTATCAACAGTTCAGCTTGGGTCCAGTGGAGCCAGTGGGGAGCTGGGTCCCCTGGGGCCAGCCTGGAGAAGAGAGAAGTGATGGGGATTGATCATAGGATCAGAGCCAGGGGTCCCACCCCTCCCCCACCTGAGAATCGCCCTCCGATGCCCAGCCTGGAGTGTCTGTGATTAGCAGGGGGAATCCTCTCCCTCCCATGGTAGTTTTACACAATGGCGTGTGGTCTGAAACTTTGTTTTTAATTGAGGTAACATCGGGTTATAACGTTATATAAGTTTCGTGTATACAACATTGTATTTCTACTTCTGTATACACTACAGAAATTAGTTGCAAAGAAGCCCCATAGTATACTACAGAGTAGAATGAAGAAATCACAGTTTTTTAAATACAAGGAGGCTTCAAAGAATTGTCTTGATGGTTGGCCTTGGATTCAACCTCTGACCTTTCTGCTTGCGGGCCTTGGGTGGTCCCTTATCCTGTCTGAGTCTCACTTTCTTCTTCTGTGATATAAGAATAATGCCTCTTTGTGTGGATATAGAGGGAAATCGATTTTACATCAAGTCCCAGCCCACACATATAGACACACTGGTCGCCAGTCTCTTATCAGCAATTCTATCACCTCCAAATTTCTGAAACACACACATGTGTTTGGTAACTCACCTGGGCAGTAATCTTGTCCTGTACTGACCTGAGCTTATTTATAGTCATTACAGACTTTTTCCCATTTAATGTGAATATTTGTTTGTTTCACTGCCAAAACATGAAAACATTCATTTATCGGGTGCTTTCCAGACTCTGCTGGAAGTGGTCAGGATTTTCTGGAAATGGGGTGCCACGTCCTTTTGATCCTTTTTTGGTCTGCACCTTCCGGTCATGGTCATCCGTAGGTGTGTCATCTAGTAGCTAATGTAGTAAAATCAGCCTAGAATGAGACTGAGGGTCTGGTGAGGTCAGATACCTTGCCACCTTGGTTCCAGCTGGATCTATCCGGTTTTGGTTTGTCTCTTCCTATAGCTTCCTCAGTTTTTCTCCAGACCCTGTGACTCCAACAGCTTCACCTCCAAATGGAAAAATCCTTTCCCTACGTGAATAAAGGTGGCCATTGAGGTCCAGAGTATTCTATTTCAGGGAACCTGAGGATCCAACACTGCGCCACCACTATTTAGACAACTGCTTTGAAAAAGAGTGTCTAAAGGGAATTTCCTGGTGGTTTAGTGGTTAGGATTCAGAGCTTTCACTGCTGTGGCCCAGGTTCCTAATGTTAACTCTCAAAAGCTGTTGGGAAGAGACAGGAGTCAAGGGTCTTTTTCCTGTAGATGAGACCCAAGCAGGACTCTATTTAGGACAAGTCAGAAAATCCTGACACCACCAGTTTGCGTTCCCGGGGATTCTGGCTGGAGCCCTTTTATTCCCCATCTTAGGAAGTGTACCAACACTGCAGGATCCTGCTGGCCCATAAGGCAGAGAGGCTGGAGTGGAATTGCATGGAGCTGGGTTGGATCCTGACTCTACCCCTGCCCAGCTCTGGGACTCTGAGCTTAAGAGTTGGAGTC